ATCACTGGATTGTCTGGTCCAGACTCGATTACCGTCGTCATATAGCTTGAATATTGCGGAGTGCGGCTATAAACAACAAACAAACAAACATGCTTTGTTCTTCATTGTTCTTTGCGATTTATTGCGTAGCTACTGTATATTATATTATCATATAAACAGGATAAGTACGACAATATGAGTTACCTTTTTTATTTCTGTCTGAGAAGTATGGTAGCAGTAAATATTTTCCTCTTTATATTCTTCATAAACTCAAGAACTGGGCAGTGTCATTCAACAACAGTAAAAAAATCTATGTTGTTCATGTCCACTTAGTATGTTCTAAATAACACTGAGAAATGTCATGTGTAGAAAGACCAATAATAAAAAACAGATCAAGGTTAGAGTAATATTTTCAGTGGGAATTCACCAAAGTACAATTCCATCAGATCTTTCCGTTTTTTCTTTGGTTTCAGATAAAAGGAAATATGACTTCAAAAGACATACATCTTTGTGCCTAGATGCTTTTGCAACAAGCTGGAAAATACACTTTGCTGCTGTATTAGAAGTGGCTTGGTGGTGGGCTATGCCCTTCTTAATTCAATCAGTTTTTGCAATGTGTCTGTGTCCGTCTAATCCTAATTTTCGTGGCAGTGGGGTAACCTAGTGGTTAAAGCGTTCATTTGTCATGCCGAAGACCCCGGTTCGATTCCCGACATGGGTACAATGTGTGAAGCCAATTTCTGGTGTCCCCCGACCCGATATTGCTGGAATATTGCTAAAAGCGGTGTAAAATCAAACTCACTCACTAATCCTAATTTCAAGCTTCCCAAACTCCCAGCTGCAGAGGGGCAAATAAGTGTTCAAGAACAAATAATAGGATAATTTAATATTGTGGTTTGTGCAAATTCAATATTTTGTTTCTACTTTCTACTTTCTACTTTCTACTATGCATGTCCAGATCATCATAAAAAATTATTCACATGTACGTGTTTATGTTACGCCTACAACTATCCCTCGTAAGGTTCAAAATTCCCCCTCTTCACATGCGCACATGAGTCTATTTACCCATAAGCCCTGTGTCTCTCCATTCCTCTCCCAAAGCAAGAAGGACGACAAGACTCGCTACAATAATTGCCATGCCCGCCTGCCCACCCTATCTTCACCGGCTTAGGTCTTCACCTTTGTACCAATTGGCTGCTGCTAAATATGTACATTTTTTGTCAATTTTGCCTTTTATTATCAGGGGCTGACTGATTGGCCTTTCATTAGCCAGGCTCTTTCCACTCATCTAGAGTGTCCTTTTCTCCCCCAAGTCTCGTCCATAGCTCAGGTTGCAGCCCCAGTCCGCAGACCACCGTCCGAGCCGCCGCAGCGGCCCCAGGACCCTCACCTAGCTCTAGGTCGTTCCCTCTCCTTGTAATAAGCTATCACCAGAGCTCAGGTCGCAGCCCCAGTCCGCAGACCACCCTCCGAGCCTCATAGCGGCTCCAGGACCCTCACCTAGCTCTCGGCCAGCCCTCGTCTGTGATAAGAATCAGTGAATCATTATGATGTATGTGTTTGTTATCATGTATATTAAATATTTTTTCATCTCATTGCCTGTTGTATTTGCACAAAGTCAGTCATTATCCAACATATGACATAAACAAAATACATTTTTAAAAATTAAAAAGCAACAACTGTTTGGCGCTGTTGCTCACCTGGACAGTTTACAGCTACAAATATTAACAAAGACAGCCAATTAAAAAAAGTTGCGGTCAGCATTATATATTCAACTTCTTCTGCATAATTATATACAGGACCTAACCAATAAGTATCAAACAGTAGCTACAATCTCCAAGCCACTGAAGAAAATACAAGTGTCTGATGATTTAACCTTGCATGCATGCCAGGAAGTCTACATGAAGTATTCAGTATGAGCTCCTTCCAGACACACACAGATAAAGTTGTCTCCTCCTGGTTGACATGATCTACTGAGTGACTCTGGCTAAACAGGATGAGTGATCATTCCTTTCCTGTCTGTGTGACAGAGCAGGCATGATGGATGCCCAATGACTGTCAACACAGTAGAAACAGAATTAAGCTTTCTCATGACATTATAGAACTTTCTCAATGACTGCCAACCACAGTTTACAGATGACATAGAATGAAGTACTATAATGACATTAAAATATACTGAACAACAAAAGTTCCTGTGACATTGAATAAGATTTAATGCAAATTTATGTTTTTTACCAAATCTGAAACAATTTCGGTTTGCAATGGATAAAAGACTCCTGTAAGTGTTCAAATGGTTTAATTTGCCATACTGACTTCAGAAAATGCGTGATTTCATAAAAAAATATGAACATGCCAAAATGTCAATTTACAAATCAATAGCTTGTCTGTCCACCTCTGGTTGCGATGAAAGCAACACATCTTCGTCTCACAAATGGACCAGGCGTCGCACAAAGTCCTGTGGGATATCTGTCCATCTCATCCCACATGTGCTCGATTGGTGAGAGATCAGGGGAGCGAGCCGACCAGGGGATGACATTCCCGTTGTTTTTTTTAAGAGAATCCTGAACAAGTCAAGCAATATGAGGCCGGGCGTTGTCATGTTGAAAGGTAATGCCTGGGCCATGACGACACAAAAACGGTAGAACAACAGGGCCGATGATCTCATTGGGTAGTGCTGTCCATTGAGATTTCCCTCTACCACTATCAAACGGGTCCTCTGTCTTGCTGTAATCCCACCCCATACCATAACGCTGCCGCCCCCCAACCGATCTTCTTCCATGACACAATGGTTGACGTAATGTTCACCTCGACGTCGGTACACACAGCTGTGGCTGAGATGAAAACGAGACTCGTCAGTGAATAGAACTTGTCCCCACTGCATGGCCGTCCAGCGTAAACGCTGTCTGCACCACTGTAGACATGCTTGACGATTGTTTCCTGTCCAAATGGGACGTGTGGCAGGTCTTCTGGTGACAATCCCTGCACATCTGAGGTGACGACATACGGTTTGTGAAGATATTTGTCTAAGGCCAGGGATGCTTCTTGCAGTCACTGTTGCTGGCTGGAATCGATTTCATAGGTGTGTTGCTCAAATTCAGTTGTCTTGTCGATTGTTGGTTACGCATGGCCTGCCAATCAGAGGATGGTCTCTGACTGCATTCATCTGTTGCCAAAGTTGCCATAAACACCAAATGGTGTTTCTGTGCCGTTAAATCACGTTGACTCGATCCTGCTTCAAGCATACCAATGGCTCGCAGACGCTCATTTTCGGACAGGCGTGGCATTTCGTAATGTTGAATAATTGCGTAATTTTGTTGTTTTTCTGAGTGGTTGTTGTCAGCACGATGCTAAACAATGCATATGGAATCCCATTAACGGGAATCACGCACGTTGAGACGCCCAACGCTAACACCGTATTCGCGCATGCATGATTCCCGTGCACCATTTCGAGTTGAGTTGATTGGTTCAACTGTGTCATATGGCCCTGTGACGCAGGGGTAGCATTATGCAGATGGCTCTATCATGACATACAAGAACTATTCTGACTGACTGTCACCACGGATTACTGACACCTTGTTATGGGGCTCTATCATGACATACAAGAACTATTCTGACTGACTGTCACCACGGATTACTGACACCTTGTTATGGGGCTCTATCATGACATACAAGAACTATTCTGACTGACTGTCACCACGGATTACTGACACCTTGTTATGGGGCTCTATCATGACATACAAGAACTATTCTGACTGACTGTCACCACGGATTACAGACGCCTTGTTATGGGGCTCTATCATGACATACAAGAACTATTCTGACTGACTGTCACCACGGATTACTGACACCTTGTTATGGGGCTCTATTGTGACATTCTAGAACTTTCCACAACCTGAGACATAACACTCTTGGTCAATCTTGTTTCAATCAGAGAGGGTTTATTGAAATTTGTTACCTCTGATTGACCAATCAAAATCAGGTATTTTCCAAATTTGTGGTAGAATGTTTCATACACTCACTGTCAGGCCGTCAATGAATACTGACATTTGTGTATTTTGCATTTTTATTTTGTTACTTTTTCAATAATTTAAGTGTAAAATTCAATTCAAGTATCACTTTACAAAACTCGGCCAGACAATCTTTCTCTATTTGTCAGAACTTAAGGTCAGAAGGTGTTTTCATTTTCATTATTATCCTGAAATTTGAAATTCTATTTTCTTATCTTGCCTAATGTCTTCAAGGGATTATATTGCTTGTTTGACCTCTATCAGAAAAATGCCACATACGTTATCAAAAAGGTTACAATGTCAACAAAGACAGTCACTTACAAAAGCTGATTCCTGCATTTATTTATGATACAAATAATGGACAATATTTTATAAAGTATCAAAGATACAACTAGTTGACAAATATCTATTGATGGTACAATTAATGGACAAATATCTATTGATGGTACAATTAATGGACAAATATCTATTGATGGTACAATTAATGGACAAATAACTATTGATGGTACAATTAATGGACAAATATCTATTGATGGTACAATTAATGGAATTGATCACAGAGACGTTTGGGCACTTTCACCAGTAACAGGATCAGTTTCCAGAATATTACACAAGTGTTTCTCCAGGGATCTGGAAGAAGGAAGATTCTCCCATACCAGTATCATTTGGAAAAGTAAACAATTATGGCAACCTTGTTTCGCAGGCACTCCAGGAGGAAGTCAACTGGCATGAGCATTTTTATTCAACATACCTACCTGACATGAAAGATGACAAAAACATATCCTGGGCTGCAAGGCTTTTGTTTGTTTGCTTGTTTGTTTAATGCTTCACTCAGCAATAATCCAGCTATATGATGGTGGTCTGTAAATAATTGAGTCTGGACCAGACAATCCTGTGATGTATACGTAATTGGGATACACTGATATGCATCCACCAAGTTGGTGAGCCTGACCACCCAATCCTGTTAGTCGCCTCTACACAAGGAAAAGTTATCATTCTTGGTGGCTTGCATATTCAATAGCAGCTCTCAAGGCGTAGTTGACTGGTGGAAAGACAGTGAATGAGTGGCAACTTCTTCTCTTCATTCACTGCCTGACAAAACTGAGAACTTGGCTTTTCAGCATGGGTCATACGAACTGTGCCAGATGGCTGCCAATTCATGTACACAGCAAGACCAATCTGAAAAAGACCCATCCAAATATTCAGAAGAAGTTTCAGAATGGTAATTTCATGGACATATTGCTGTGTGCAAGACAAATATTTGCATTAAGAGCAGTAGTTCAGGTGCATGAAGAAAACCAAGGTGCTGTGAAGGACGATGGTGGAATTGTTGGCCTCACCCAAAACCCTCAGGCATTAAGACATTGGATCGTTTCATGACCAGAGAAGACCAGAGTGTGAAGCATCCATCGAAGGAAGATGCAGGAGAATATCCCAGGATGTACAACACCATGAACAGAAAAACAGTGTCCAGGTCATACTTTCTCAACAAATGAAATCCCTAGTTGATGTGATCAGCAAAATGGGCAACCCTGTTCCAGAAGAAGGAACTGAACTTCCCAGGCTCTGCACATGGAACATCATGGACCAGACTTCAGAACCTTTGTTACGCAGAATGAACAGATTGGGCACAAACAACTCTATTAACTTGAGAGGCTGGTGGGACATACAAAACTACTTTGATTCCAAAAAAAAAGAACAAGCTGTAGCCATCCTTCTCCAAGAGTCTTAAAAGGGTTAGGGGCGGTCGGGTAGCCTAGTGGTTAAAGGGTTTGCTCATCACGCCGAAGACCAAGGTTTGATTCCCGACATGGGTACAATGTGTGAAACCCATTTCTGGTGTCCCCCGCCATGATATTGCTGGAATATTACTAAAAGCAGTGTAAAACCATACTCACTCACTTAACTGGGTTAAAACTATAAGTTTCTTCTTTGAAAGTGACTGTGCACTGTTTTCCAGATTGCAAATGGCCTGTCCAACATGAGGTAACCATTTGGATCACACTGTTTAACATGAAAACCAGACATGTCATTGTTCTCCTTCCTGATCTCATCATGACAAATTACGATTTGGCAATTGATTGCCTTGCCACATGAGCCTTGGTGATGGACCTGTTGCAATCAAGACTTACTGATTATGCATTCGTTCGTTTGTTCGCTTGCTTGTTGTTTAACGCTGCACTCGGCAGTATTCCAGCTGTAAAGACGGTCCGTAGATAATCGAGTGTGGATCAGACAATCCAGTGATTGACATCACGAGCATCGAGCCACGCAATCAGGATACAATGAATTGTATCAACCAAGTCGGCGAGCCTGACCACCCGATCCCATTAGTCGCCTCTTATGACAAGCATAGTCGCCTTTTACGGCATGCATGGATAGATAGCTGAATACCTATTTTACCCCGGATCTTCACGGGTCATTTATGCATTCAATGTGTTTTCACCATACATTGCCAGTATCTACAGGCATTATATATATATATATTAGTGGACATTATGTGGGATGAGAACCTGTGGACAGGGTATCAGGAGGAGCATAGACTCCATAACAACTCTGCCTGGGAACTGGAACCAATTTCTCAGGATAGATGAAAACAAAACTGCTCTGTTTACATTCCTTGCAATGCAAATTGCAACATGGTGATAGAAAGACAACTAATCACCACTATTTGCTCAGATGTTATGTATGTTTCTCAAATGGACACTACAGCCTTCACACCTTGCACACATGAAGAGGCAGACACAAGAATGCTGCTTCATACAGTAGATGACGTGAAGGTTTCAGGAAGATTCTCCTCCATACTGTAGACACAGATGTTGTTTTGGCCATGTATGGACTTTCCATGAGTGCATAGGCTGTGATACAGTTTCATCATTTGCAACAATTCCCCAAAACAACTGCACAGGATATATGGGAAGCACTTGAAGAACTTATGCCATCAATTCTTGCTCTCTCACATTCGCCACAGAATATATCAGACCAAAGTATGGGGATTCTTGAACAATTCACGATTCTCTTGTATGACAGAACCTGCAACCTGGAGTGAGTGAGTTTGGTTTAACGCTGCTTTTAAAATCATTCCAGTTAAAACACAGTGTGTCAGCTTAGTGTGGGCGGAAAGCCCGAAGTGATGCAGGTCTCAGACATTTACCACTTCAGTGAAACCCACAAGCATGGGAATGGTGCTGAGAAACCTAGAAACATGATTGGGGTGAACTGGGATTCGAACCCACAATCATAGGTTTCTGCCGTGCCCAAAGGATGCAACTCTGCATAGTAAATCTCGCAGCTTTGGACGACTGGGCCAGTACGGTCAATTGCAGCATTCCCACCAAGTACGGCTGCTGCACATATAGCGAGCTGTGTTCCGGGAGGACATTGCTGGGGACGACCACTAGTTTGAGTGAGCACCAGCGATGCCATCCCCTGGAGACTGGAGATGGGCCGAGCCTAAACACTGGAAACACTTGTGGACACTGCTACCTGAAGCAAGCACTTCCTCTCAGCACTTCCTTCTCTGTTGTGGCTGTTAAAAGGGTTGCCGTGGTGATTGCAAATGTGCCAAAGCAGCATTGAAATGTACAGCTCTCAGTGTGGTGGGGATTGTAGAACTCAACTGTTATTGATGAATATGTACATGTCAGGGCAGTAATGAACTCCAATACTATATCATGTTGTTATTTTGTGTTTGATATGTACTCTGAATCTCATATATGAAGGATCCCAAGACTTGTGTTAAAATGAAATATCAGACCTGCAACAATCGACATCTTATTGTTTAAAATGTAGATTTTTACATAATTTATGCATTGAACTGGACATTTCTTCATTGTTTTATACTGTAAGATGACAGTGTTCTGAATATTACACACAGCCTGCACTCCAAATGACATTAAAGTTCAAAAGTTCATTGAACATGACCCTGTTATCATCTTTTATAGCAAACATTTTTTTTCAGAATGGTGGCCATTTAGAAAAGTGGTTGCCATGGACACCATATAGTGAATTTTATTGACATCTGAAAATGCTTGTTATGCCCTGAAGGCTCTCTGTTCCAAGTTTCATGCTTCTATTATAAAGGCACATTTCTTACACATTGGATGTTGGATGAGGAATGAGGAAAAAAGTATGAGTGAGTGAGTGAGTTTGGTTTAACGCTGCTTTTAACAGTATTCCAGTTATATCACGGTGTGTCAGCTTAATGTGGAAGGAAAGCCCGAAGTGATGCAAGTCTCAGACGTTTACCACTTCGGTGAAACCCACGAGCACGGGTATGGTGCTGACAAACCTAGAAACATAATCGGGGCGAACCCACAATCATAGGTTTCTTTCTTGACTGGGCCACCCGTGCTCCCCCCCAAAAAGTATGAACAAATATGAAACAAGCAACTAAAATTCGACAATGTTTCTAAATCTACAACAATGTTGTAATGTAATGATGTATAACAGTCAACTAGGTTTTCAAATGGGCTTCTGTGGAATGTTGGTAGTTCGATCCCCGGCCATGTCACACCAAAAGGCAATAGTGCTTCTTGCTATCATGCCTGGCGCTTGGCATGAAGCTGATTCAGGGTCAGTCTACTCACAGTATGTCTGAGTGGAGCAGACCCGTGAAGATCCGGGCAAGGATAGGTCTTCAGCAACCCATGCTTACCGTAAAAGGCGACTATGCTTGTCATAAGAGGCGACTAACGTCATCGGGTGGTCAGGCTCGCAGACTTGGTTAATGCATGTCATCGATCCCAATTGCGTGGATTGATGCTCATAGTATCAATCACTGGATTGTCTGGTCGATTATTTACAGACTGCCGTCATATAGCTGGAATATTGCTGAGTGCGGCGTTTAACAACAAGCAAACAAATCCGAGTGGAGTATCCATGTTAAATTGTTGCATGGTATCTCAGTAGGCTTGCACTATAAAAGCAGCATTATTCCTGACTAGTACAAGCACACGCACTGTCATAAAGTAATGAATGAATGCTGTTCAAATAATAGTAAGAATAGTAAGGCTGTTTGCCTATTGCTGATGCTGTGTACATGACGTCGGGTGTGATTTCGTTTGTCTGCCATTCCGTTCCGGTTCGACAGTTGTATGCACCCGGTTCATACTTCTTTATGTAACCACGTGCTGTCCGTGTGCGTGTGTTGACAAACTGCCGTGCCTTGCCTATGACTATGAGGATGAACAAACTGCCATTAAATGGTCTGAATAACTGCCGAGGACTTCTTCGTGTTCTTTTCACGCACACACATACAAAAGACCACTTGTACTATACTTTTTAACATGATAATAGTCACTCTTGTACAATTTGATATATTTTGTTTTTAATAAACCCCATTTCACCTCACCAAATTTCATCACAATTTTTGTTAAATAGCTGCACAATAGTCATAAAAAAGCATATTGGAAATGTAATTTGCAACTCTTGGACTTATATGGTCAAAACAAGCCCAGGTCAGGCGAACCATTTTTAATGCATCACAACTAGGCAACCCTACCACCCCTTGGTCCTTAAGTCATTGAAAAGGAGCTGATCAAAAACCATTGAATTCGACATCGACAAGTGGAACATATACATACCTGGTCCACTATACATCCCTGACCTGTAGTTACCCACTTCCAAGTGTACTGCATCATTATAACGCTGTCTGAAACTCCAGACTTGCCATAAACGAGTTGATAATTAGGTTATAAGAAATAAAAAGGCAAGATGGAAGCAATCATGTGTACATAGCAAGATTTCCCCCCATTAATCAGAATCATAACATCATGATTATCCCTGATGAAAGTCTACAACATCTTCCCACTGGAGTCACATCACCACCTCAGACATTGCAGAATATATTTAATCGCAGACAAAAATTAATGACGATGATGAAAACTCTACCAAAAGCTGAATTGCAAATTACTGATAAGAAAGTGCGCCAGATCCTGGTCATGCAGAGCTGGTGAGTTACAGGACGAAATAAAGCAAATGAATGAAGCAAATCTTGGATACCATTTTTTATGTGGAGATCAGGGTGCTTATGTTGCCTTGACTTTTAGGGTAGACTTTGCTGAGCAAAACATAAATATACTCAAGCAATTGAGCAAATGCAGATTTGTTGGCTATGGACTATGAAAAACAACAGCTATTGGTTAATGTGATTAAAGTGTTTGTAAGAAGAAAACATGTTATTACAGTTTTGGATTGATTAGTGCTTTGAATTCTCATCAGTTTTGCTTTTTGTCATTTTCTGCTACATCAGTGTATTTCCTATATATATAAGTCATTTATAAACATCCTCTCTACAATGGTTTCATGTTTCCTAGTGTATATGTTCTAGTAACAACAATGTCAACCTTTGGTTCATGTGAGAGACTGGCTTAATGTCTTGTCATCGACTTGTTCAAGTGACATCAATGTCAATCTTTGGTGCATGTGAGAGACTGGCTTAATGTCTTGTCATCGACTTGTTCAAGTAACAACAATATCACTCATTGGTGCATGTGAGAGACTGGCTTAATGTCTTGTCATCGACTTGTTCAAGTAACAACAATATCAATCTTTGGTGCATGTGAGAGACTGGCTTAATGTCTTGTCATCGACTTGTTCAAGTAACAACAATATCAATCTTTGGTGCATGTGAGAGACTGGCTTAATGTCTTGTCATCGACTTGTTCAAGTAACAACAATATCACTCTTTGCTGCATGTGAGAGACTGGCTTAATGTCTTGTCATCGACTTGTTCAAATAACAACAATGTCAACCTTTGGTGCATGTGAGAGACTGGCTTAATGTCTTGTCATCCACTTGTTCAAGTGACAACAATGTCAATCTTTGCTGCATGTGAGAGACTGGCTTAATGTCTTGTCAACGACTTGTTCAAATAACAACAATGTCAACCTTTGGTGCATGTGAGAGACTGGCTTAATGTCTTGTCATCCACTTGTTCAAGTGACAACAATGTCAATCTTTGGTGCATGTGAGAGACTGGCATAATGTCACTCACAGGACATGTCCAAGAAATGAAATACTCTCTTATAACAAGAAACCATGCATGAACAGATAACGTTTCCCTGGCTCCATCTGCTGATATTTAGAATACTACAACAAGGAGTGAGTGAGTATGGTTATAAACCACTTTTAATAATATTCCAGCAATATCATGGCAGGAGACACCAGAAATGGGCTTCACACATTGTACCAATGTTGGGAATCAAACCCGGGTCTTCGGCGTGATGACCAAACACTATAACCAATAGGCTACCCGACAGCAAGGAAAGACAACTGACGCACTCATGTTTTCAGTTTATAACTTTTTACAAAATACATTTTCCATTGAATATTTGGGTGTACTCAACTGTACTGGTTTGTAATTAGAATGTACAATAAAAGATTTCTTAAAAATGCACTTTTGCTATTTTGGTGAAGGCTGGTGCACACTGGCATATATAAGATTTTTACTGTAGGAGGAACTCAGAGCTACAAGATAGTAAAAGAAGATCAGTACAAAGTGTGACTTTGCAGCCACCCCTGCTTGCCCTCAATTAACATGGAACTGTGTGGGAATTCTAGGTTGGAATAGGTCCCCAGCAAACTATTGGGTGGTCAGGATGCAGGGACTTGGTTAGACATCAAGAGATGTTGCTCATTTTATCAGTCACTGGATTGTCTGCACCGGATTTGATTATTTACTGGCCACTGTCATATAGCTGGAATACATTACGTTTAATATCTAACATTTATGATGGAATAATTAACATGCATCATCTGTATACATATATCATTTATTGCTCATAAAATGACAATTACTAAAACTTCACTCACCTTGAAAATACAATCAACAATTTGTTGGCAACTCTATACTATATACAGATAACATACTTACAAAGTTATAACATATTGCTCACAATAATCAACCATATGCATAATTTCAGCAATTGAAAATAATTATACATTACTCACCCCAAACAGCTGGAAGATTGGTACTGTGGTGTTAATCCACAGTCACTCACTCACTCACTCACTCACTCACTCACTCACTTATTATACATTGGCTGTTTTAAGTTGATAAGGCCCCACATTTTTTATTTCTTGTTTCACGGGCCCGCCATCCCTACTTAAAAGCAGCTAGTCTAAGAAATCAATTAAACATAAAAATATTTATCTTTATTATGTCTCTCATTAGTAGCATATTAGTATACCTCAAATCTTATGTTGGCGTGTATAGTGCGCACACCCCTCTGCGCTGCTTCATTTTCTGAAAAAAAGTGCTCACTATACTCAAGAAAATACGGTAATACAGGCCAGATCCTCTTATACAATATAAAATGTTATAATTTTATATAAATTCCATGGTGATTCAAGAGGCCACCTGCAGTTTTAACTCCACGGCAGAATGACTTTCATATAAATAAATGAAAGACATTTATTTTTTCGACCTTATATGGAAAAGCTTAAATTACATTTCAAAAAGAAATTTGTCATCAAAAGCTCTAAATCAAATACCTTATCTAAAATAGACAAATCCATTTATGGGCCATATTTGAGTCTATTTCCCTTGATGATCAACTTCCTGGTCACCGTAGGTTTGTGCATTTCTCAATGTTTAAAAACACAACCCGTCTGACCGGGGCTAAGAAATAAGCTTTCTTTCATCACTCCAAGGGAAGCCTTTGAACCTCTTCACCATAAAATACTGCCAACAGAAAGCCAGCATACATTGTCCATTCTTGAATCAACATGAGACATCTCTTTGTACTACATAGGGTGTAGGTTTCAGTGACAATGGACAATGCTTCTGATTGGTCAAGAGATGTTCTTGTAGACTTCGTTAAAAATGGAAGCAAATTTGCAGAGGCTATCTGAAATTACAGATTTCAGACAAACCTGCCAGGAAACTTAATTCGGTTTGTCAAAGAGCCTGACCTTAACACACCGTCTGCAGCAAAGATAATAATATCATCAGTCGATACTTCCACAAGACTGTCTGTTTAGTTCGCACAGTGAAAATACCTTTTAAAAGAAGCAAGATGTGAGGTGAGGTGAAGGTATACCATGCCTCGCGAATGTTGATTTTAGAGCTTTGGTGACGGCTTGACTTGTTTGACTTGACAATGCAATCACTTCAGGGTAGTTGGAATATGAGTCAACGATGACTATGTAGTCTTTTGACGATAACTCGAATAAGTCTGTCGATACTTGTTCCCATGGCCTTGTTGCTACTGGACGGGAAATCATAGGTTCGGCTCTCTGCCGATGTCGATGTGTGAGGCATGTGTCACAGCTTCTTACCATAATGTCTATCTCATGGTTCATTCTTGGCCAGAATAGCACCTCTCTAGCAGGTTGCTTGCCCTTTTCTTGACCAAGGTGACCTGTATGTATCTTCTGAAGCATTGTTTGACGAAGATGGATTGGAACGACGACTCTGTTACCTTTAAAGATAACACCATTGATGATAGAGAGTTCATCTCTATAATTCCAATAGTCATTCAGAATCTGCAGACAATCAGCACGCTCATTGGGCCAACCTGTGAGAATGACATTGCTGAGTGTTGTCATTTCAGTGTCGTTCTTGATCTCATCTCTGATTTGTTTGAGTCGATCAGTTGACATTTGTAGATTTGACATCACAATGTCTACATACATCTGCACTTCTGCTTCAGTTGCACTTGTAATTTCACCCTCTTTGGGAAAGTTGCGAGATAACGCATCTGCTGTGTACATATCTTTGTCTTGTGTATATGTGACATCCATGTCATTCTTCTGTAGACGAAGTCTAAATCATTGAATTCTGGGTGGACATTCATTCAGTGCCTTTTTGAAGATCGGTACTAGTGGCTTATGGTCGGTTTCAGCCATAAAAGTTCTGCCATAAACATACTGATGAAAGCGTTCTACTCCAAAACATATTCCAAGAGCTTCCTTCTCAATTTGAGCATATCGAGTTTCGGCTGAGGTCATAGCTCGTGAACCATAGGCTACTGGACACCAGGTGTCACTGTTCTGTTGAAGTAGTACTGTACCCAGACCGCTTTGTGATGCGTCTGTTGAAACTTTGATGGGCTTTGTTGAGTCATAGAATCTGAGAACTGGTTGTTGAGAGATCAAGGTACGGAGTTCAGTCCACGCCTTGTCTTGAGGATGTGACCATGACCACTGAACATCCTTTTCCAACAAATGTCTCAGTGGAGCTGACTTTGCAGATAGATCACGTATGTATCTTCCGAGGCATCTTCCCGAGGCAAGAGAGTTCACTGACTGTAAAAGTCCAGTTTCCAACCTTCCCGAACTAGGCTGGAATTCCTGGGCTCGATCGTAGCGCCACCAGTGGCTATTACGAGTTATGTCCTTTCTATGCCTCTCCTATTGACCAATCAGATTCAACATCTCGTATCACTTGCATTTGCTTCAAACAAAACGGTGGCGCCCAGTCAAGACGATCTGATTGATCAAGATCTATATTGTGATAAAACGAGTCTTACATTGGGAAGTGCATCAAATCGCGTGAGCACCTTGATTAAAAACATGAAAAGATTTAGCAAAATATCTGTTGACAACGAGTTAGCGGTGCACATGTTTTGCAAATCCTGCAGTCGACCAAAATCTGCATGACACTTTATGAACCGGATTTCGGTTTCGGTTCGCGATTTTGATTGGACTATGCATAGACTCGTTAGTCCAGCCAAAATGTTACTCCATAATACCAGCCTAGTTCGGCAAGGGTGGAAACTGGACTTTCATAGTCAGTTAACTCGCTTGCCTCAGAAAGATGCTTCCGAGGTAGTTCACCATACCCATGAACTGTTGAAGCTCCCTCTTGTCAGTGGGTTTCTTCAGATCCATGATGGCATTGACTTTGTTAGGGTCTGCTTTCAGGCCATCAGTTGTAAGACGATCTCCCAGGAAGGTTAGTTCAGATACTCCTATCTCGCATTTATCTCTGTTCAATTTCAGCCCAACATTTCTACACTTCTCAATGACCATTCTCAGTCTCTTATCATGTTGTTACTTGTCATTACCCCATATTATCATATCATCCATACTTGTGTCAGTCCCCTGTATGTGTTCAAAGAGCTGGTGGATGGTGTGATGGCAGACTTCTGGTGCACTGGATATACCAAATGGAAGACGAAGATATCGATATCTCCCAAAAGGCGTGTTGAATGTTGTCAGTAGAGAACTTTTGTGATCAAGCTTCATTTGCCAAAAGACTGAAGAAGCGTCAAGCTTGCTAAAGACTTGAGCACCAGAAAACTGTGACAACACCTCTTCTCGGGTTGGAAGTTTGTAGTGTTCTCGCTGAATCGCCCTATTGAGATTTCTCGGGTCAAGGCAAATCCTGAGCTTGCCGTGTTTCTTGTGCACGATCACCATTGAACTGACCCATTCAGTGGGCTCGGTCACCACTGTGATGACTCCAAGAGATATCATCCTGTCAAGCTCTTCTTTTAGCTGTTCATGTAGTGCGAAGGGAACTTTTCGACATGCTTCTATTACTGGTTTGACGTTATTGTCAACTGTAATGGTATGTTCACCTGGTAGACAGCCTAGTCCGGTGAAAACATCTCCATATTCTGATAGAATATCTGATGAACTGAATGAAGATTCACTTTTGATGACTTGATCTACGTTGATTTCGTAGACACGGCGGATGAGGTTCAATCGTTCACAGTCTTGGACTCCCAGGGATGATCTATGGTTGTCTGGCGTAACTGCAAATACTGTCTTGTATGGCTTGCCTTTGTAAGTGATTGTCACTTCTGCCTGTCCCTTTACAGGCACGTTAGTTCCGCCATACGCCTTAAGGTTCACCTTTGCAGGTTCAAGGGGTGGCTGGTACTGCAGTTTGCTCCACTGTGAATAACCCATGACGTTCATATCTGCTCCGCTATCTAGCTTGAGGGTTACTTGTGTTCCATTAATGTCAAGATTCATTACCCATGCTTTTGTTTGTGAATCTTGAATCGGCTCAGAATCCAACACATCTACGAAGGAATCTGATTCTATTGGTGGTTGCTGGTTGGTGGCGCCAATTTCGTGAACATTTCTCGATTTTGGGTGACTGGACCGACTTGACGGTGTTTTACATTGAGCTGCAAAATGTCCAATACGACCACATTTCAAACATGTATGACCAGATGCAGGGCGCACCTTGCTTGTGTGTGTTATTACCACATCTACCACAATGTTCAGTTTTTTCAGGTTTTCTATAGTTCTGTTTTGTTTTGTTGTGTTTTGGCTTGGATTTGACATAATGAACAGATGCATCTTCACTTACTTCTTTAGCTTGCAAACTTGCCATTTCTGCTTCTCTAATTGAATCAACAGCTTTAAATTTTGTCAAAGTTAACTTGTCATCTCTGAGCAATTTCTCACGATATGTACTATTGTAGACACCACAAACAATTCTGTCTCTAATTAAACTGTCTTTCAAAGTGCCAAATTCACAAAATGTTGCCATTTGCTGTAATTCACAAACATACTGATCAATTTTCTGGTCGGACTTCTGAGAACAAGTGAAAAACTTGTACCTTTCAAAAGTTATGTTTTTTCTAGGAACACAATACGGTGACATCTACTGTCTTAGTAACTAGGGATGTGTTGAAGGTGACATCTACTGTCTGGGGAACTAGGGATGTGTTGAAGGTGACATCTATTGTCTTAGTAACTAGGGATGTGTTGAAGGTGATATCTACTGTCTTGGTAACTAGGGATGTGTTGAAGGTGGCATCTATTGTCTGGGGAACTGGGGACATGTATTGAAGGTGACATCTACTGTCTTGGTAACTAGGGATGTCTTGAAGGTGACATCTACTGTCTTAGTAACTAGGGATGTGTTGAAGGTGACATCTGCTGTCTGGGGAACTAGGGATGTGTTGAAGGTGACATCTATTGTCTGGGGAACTAGGGATGTGTTGAAGGTGACATCTACTGTCTTGCTAAGTTATGTTTTTTCTAGGAACACAATACTGCTCAAATTTTTCAATAATTTTGTCTAATTTCATCTTATCTTCTTCTTCATCCCATTGAAAGGAATTATATACTTCTCTTGCATTATCCCCAATGGCATTTAGGAGTAGTGAAGACTTGTATTGCTCAGTCTTCTGTTTTCCATCTATAGTGACAGTGTAATAGCACTCCCATGCTTGCTTGAATCTACGCCAGTTTTCACTAAGATTACCAGTGAAATCTAGTGCTTTAGGACGCTCTAATCCTTGCATTTTGTCAGCTGAGTTCATTTACCAGCTTCTGACACCATGTAATGGTCTTATTGACTTCTGGAACTTCTGTTTAGGAGGTTCAACTTTCTAGTAAGTCAAAAGCACATGTCGGGTTTATAGCCATGTTTAATAAACTAAAGGGGAATAACTCCCAACGATCTACAGTACAGTGCTGGTACAACAACTAGCTATACTAACTGTGTACATAGCACTCTGGTGGAACATGCTATAATGCAAACACATTTGATACATTGACTTACTGCTACAGGTGACATCTACTGTCTTAGTAACTAGGGATGTGTTGTAGGTGACATCTACTGTCTGGGGAACTAGGGATGTGTTAAAGGTGACATCTACTGTCTGGGGAACTAGGGATGTGTTGAAGGTGACATCTATTGTCTGGGGAACTAGGGATGTGTTAAAGGTGACATCTACTGTCTTAGTAACTAGGGATGTGTTGAAGGTGACATCTACCGTCTGGGGAACTAGGGATGTGTTGAAGGTGACATCTACTGTCTGGGGAACTGGGACATGTTGAAGGTGACATCTACTGTCTGGGGAACTAGGGATGTGTTGAAGGTGACATCTACTGTCTGGGGAACTAGGGATGTGTTGAAGGTGACATCTATTGTCTGGGGAACTAGGCATGTGTTGAAGGTGACATCTACTGTCTTGGTAACTAGGGATGTGTTAAAGGTGACACCTACTGTCTTAGTAACTAGGGATGTGTTGAAGGTGACATCTACTGTCTGGGGAACTAGGGATGTGTTGAAGGTGACATCTATTGTCTGGGGAACTGGGGACATGTTGAAGGTGACATCTACTGTCTTGGTAACTAGGGATGTCTTGAAGGTGACATCTACTGTCTTAGTAACTAGGGATGTGTTGAAGGTGACATCTACTGTCTTGGTAACTAGGGATGTGTTGAAGGTGACATCTATTGTCTGGGGAACTGGGGACATGTTGAAGGTGACATCTACTGTCTTAGTAACTAGGGATGTGTTGAAGGTGACATCTACTGTCTGGGGAACTAGGGATGTGTTGAAGGTGACATCTATTGTCTGGGGAACTGGGGACATGTTGAAGGTGACATCTACTGTCTTGGTAACTAGGGATGTCTTGAAGGTGACATCTACTGTCTGGGGAACTAGGGATGTGTTGAAGGTGACATCTACTGTCTTGGTAACTAGGGATGTGTTGAAGGTGACATCTATTGTCTGGGGAACTGGGGACATGTTGAAGGTGACATCTACTGTCTTAGTAACTAGGGATGTGTTGAAGGTGACATCTCCTGTCTTTGTAACTAGGGATGTGTTGAAGGTGACATCTACTGTCTGGGGAACTAGGGATGTGTTGAAGGTGACATCTATTGTCTGGGTAACTAGGGATGTGTTGAAGGTGACATCTACTGTCTTGGTAAAAAGGGACATGTTGAAGGTGACATCTACTGTCTGGGGAACTAGGGATGTGTTGAAGGTGACATCTACTGTCTTGGTAACTAGGGACATGTTGAAGGTGACACCTACTGTCTGGGGAACTAGGGATGTCTTGAAGGTGCCATCTACTGTCTTGGTAACTAGGGATGTGTTGAAGGTGACACCTACTGTCTGGGTAATCCTTCGGAACATGGGTTAATCCAGACGTTAGAAACACATCAAAGTTCTGACTCTGACAAAATCAGCTCTTGGTGACATATGCTGTAATAGCATCAATGAAGTAGCCCTTAACAAATTTCACTCACTCACTCTACACCAAATTCATGTTCAGACAACTTTGCTACTGTATGTCTGTGGGAAACATATAGACCTGTACTAAGATTTAACTCAAAGTGCATATTCATGATCCATCTGTGAAAAATATATCCACAATATCACCAAAATATAAATAAATGTGAATAAATTCAGCAAATGGCTACATCTCTCTCCACAGACCTCAATCTGAAATCTTCCACCATTTCATCAAAGATACAGTCATGATGGGTCCTCTGAACAATTTCCCTGCCCCAACCTGCAGTCTCAGTGGACACTGCTCAATGGAGCTTCACATTCAGTGCAGGCATTTAACATGTAGCCGGAGTGTTGCCTGAGTGATAGATGTATCTCTGTGCAATTTGCAAAGTTATTTTCTGAACAAGGGCATTCAGAAACAATTACATCACTACTGTACATTCTACATTGACATGTATTTTGAATTGAACATGCTTAATGCAATTCATTTATAATAGCCGTAGGGCTGATGATTTTGTTTTCATTTTATTGATAATCAGGCTTTAATATGTTAAGAAAAATACAAATATAATTGTCTAATTAAAACTGTGCTTATTTTGAACATATCATTAGTAATTTTGTGAAGGGACATTATCTTCTCAGCAAACTGACCATAAAGCCACATTTAATCATTGCTCTTGTGTCTTTGGCATCATAAGCAAGATCCAAACACAAAGCTTCAACTCTGATCTTTCTATACCACCCTAATGTCATGCAATATTTTCAATTGTTTCACAAAATACACTTTAAAATCTTATGATATGAAGAAATTCATCTATGTCATCTAAAGGAGAAACATATAATCCAAAGTTCAGCTTTCTCAGTCCAGGAATGATATAGGCTAAGATGTTTATATACAGAGCCAAAAATGCATTGTGAAAGAATTTGAGTGCATTACAGTACATTTTGAGCAGAAACGGCCGTAAACAACTATTTTAATATCGGTTTCAAACATCTTGAACAAAATCAGTTGTCATGATTGGTGTCTACTTTCTATTGAGGTAAAATCAAGCTTTCTCTTACTATGAAAATATCAAAAGACATCGTACGACTCTTCCTCAAAAGTTGTTTGATTAGGGTTACAGGATTTGAGGCCTCGCAAAACTTTCAAAACATTTTATGGAACACAGGTGAAGAACATTTGCAACGGATTCATCAGTGACCACAATTATCTCCAATTCCTTATTTTGACTTATCATATGTTCCAATGATTGTTCAGGAGAACTTTTGACTTGCCTTTGCCTGTGTTTGTGATGGTGGATACCAATTGGGCAGGATACACTGACCTCTCTGTGAACATGTGTAGATTATGATTATGGAAAGAGTTTTTCATGCTTTTATTCTCTTAACTTGCTGGTTTCTTTCTGTGCTGTGTGTGTGGGTGGTACTGTAGCCTCATGGTTAAAGCATTCGCTCATCACGCCCATGACCCAGGTTCGATTCCCCACATGGGTCCAATGTGTGAAGCCCATTTCTGGTGTCCCCCGCCATGTTATTGCTGGAATATTGCTAAAAGCGGCGTAAAACCATACTCACTCACTCACTGTGCACTGTGGATAAGGATGCTCCACAAACTATTGTTATTAATCATGGAAAGGGCAATACTGCTTTTACTTATGTTTGGTTTGGTTTGTTATTTTACGCCGCACTCAGCAATATTCCAGCTATATGGTGGCGGTCTGTAAATAATCGAGTCTGTACCAGACAATCCAGTGATTGATATCATGAGCATCGATCCACGCAATTGTGATCGATGACATGCTTCAACCAAGTCAGCGAGCCTGACCACCAGATCCCGTTAGTCGCTTTTACTTATGTACCCATACAGAGAACACTAATCATTAATGATCAACTCCTTTCAGCCATGTTCATCCAACGCAGCACATAAAAAATTAACCAAACTGACCTACAAAATTAAGGAAGCCCAGGAGCAATATAGTTACCATCATCAACAACGATGATTAGAAGGAACAGCGGGACAATATTTACACATTGCGGATAGTTTCAATTACAATGTAAGTCCCTCGCATTAATTATTCAAGATCGCTCATCACAAGAATGTGATAATTTGCCTCTGTTGTCCTAGTGGCCGCCTCACACAGATCACAAGCGAATTAGATTCCAAATCTATTGAGATTAATTACACTTGATGCCTGAATTAGAGCTATTTGGACATTATTTGGCTACAATATCGACCAGATGTTCTCACTGCATGCTGTGTAAGATCACAGTAATACTGAGAAGCAATTATTGTTTGATTATTGTTATTTGCAAGATTATGAAAGAGTGATGATTTTTTAACATCAACTTACGACAAATGTAGCACTAAGATCACCTCGTGGAACGGGCTCAGGACTGCTTGAGGTAAACCCTGGTACACTACGAGACCGAAACAGTTCAGTTCTGAATTAAACCAGGTTCATTCCACTATTGACACATGCCACAATGAATCATGTTGAGTTCACAATTGACAAAGAATTAATGTTGGTGACATATTTGTATGAGACGATATACCCTGTCATGTGACTACTATCAGTCTCAATGTAGCTCATCATGAGAATAGGCTCAATACCAAATAAAACATTATGACATCATGATGTCAATTAAGGCCTACCTGCCAACTTCTTTGAGTTTTCATAGAGACTGCGGACATGTGAAGATCCGGGGTAGAAAAGGTCTTCAGCAACCCATGCTTGCCATAAAAGGCAACTAAGCTTATCGTAAGTAGCAACTAACAGGTCTGGTGTCAGACTTTGTGACTTGATTGATGCATGTCATCATATCCCAATTGCGTGGATCGATGCTCATGATGTCAATCACTGGATTGTCTGGTCCAGACTTGATTATTTACAGACCGCCGTCATATAGCTGAAATATTGCTAAATGCAGTGTTAAACAACAAACAAAGAAACACAAACTGTAATTGACTAATCAGAAAGTAAGATTTGTCATGATAATGTTCTATACAAGAGGGGTTGATGGGGTAACCGAGTGGTTAAAGCATTTGTTCGTCACGCCAAAGCCCCGTGTTCAGCTCTTCACATGGGTCCTATATGGGAAGTCCATTTCTACAGCACCATTGACTTGATATGTCTGGAATGGCGCTCAAACCATTCTCACTCACTCTATACAAGAGCTGGATGGACTGACGTTACAATGGACAATGTGCCATATCATCAGTACACAGGGAACATCTTCCATCACGGTGATCTAGCTACTTAACTAGCACTGCCTTGTTGGTTATCAAAATCTAAAATAGATGCTGTTTTTCATAATATATTTTGTTTCCGTATCCCTTCCAATCAATTACCTCATCATGATCAAATGTCTTTTTACATTCCGCATCAGGAAACCCTGTTAAACATTTGCTATGATTCTCTACTTCTGATCATCCTTGGATCAATGTATTCAGACAGTAGATGCCACTTTGATTAATATGTCTGTCTGTGGCATTAAATGAACCACACACCCACACACCCACACACCCACACACCCACACACCCACTCTCTTTTGGTGTTAAGCGCTTTTTCTGCAAGTGCTTGATCAACGTATATTCCTCAAATCTCTCTCTTTCTCTCCTTGTCTCATTAAGAGAATATCCAATTTAAATATTCCCTTGCCTACATAGGACTTGTCAAGCTAATACTATTCAAAATGTCAATGACGAAGAATAATCAGTTTCGGTTATCTGCTGAAACTGACGTACACTGAAACTTCAAATAACATGATGGATCACTGACACCAGGTGTCTGCAGAAAGGTTAAGCATGTCCTGCTTCACTGAGAGAGAGAGAGAGAGAGAGAGAGAGAGAGAGAGAGAGAGGGGGGGAGGGGGGAGGAGGGGGAAGGAGGGAGAGAGAAGAAAGGGAGGGGGAGACACACACACACAGATTTGAGGAATGTGCATTGATCAAGTACTTGCAGTAAAAGAGCTTAACAACAAAAGGCATCCATGATGAGTACAACAATAGAGAAGGATGCCCCTTGTTTGGGGGCTTGCTTGCAACCACAAAGTATATGGGTAACAGTTTAAGCACAGCAGGGTAGAGACTTGAAGATGACCCCCATCCTTGAGGGCCTTTTATGTCAGCAACATCAGAAATCAGCTAGTTGGGTTCCAAAGCTTCTGACATCTGATATCAAATGTATCAGGCCAACACGTCTCATGATAATCTAGCTCTGTTTAGAGCTGGTCCAGAAAGATTTTTGCAACGATTTGTTACAATGCATGAAATGTGAATTTGCTACTTCCAGTCAGAGTCTAAACAACAATTAAAACATTGGAAGCTTTTGACATCACCACCACCAAAGAAGGCAAAGACTATCTCATCAGCTGGAAAGGTGATGGCTCCCACCTTAATCTAGTGATCTGGCGCCATCAGACTTCCATCTGTTCCCAAACATTAAGACAGATGTAGCCTAGGACCCGTTCTGACACAAACAATGTTGTTATAATGTGGAGAACTTCTTGGACAGCCAAGTGAAGGACTCCTACAAAAGTGGGATAAAATCCCGCCATTGTTGCCAAAAGTGTATCAATGTAGAAAGTGATTATGTTGAAAAAAATACATCAGTTTAACATGTTTAGGTGGCATATTTCTATGTTAGGCTCACAACCCCTTGTATCATCATTATCATTACCCCTTGTACCATCAATATTATTCAAGTCTTACACAGAGGTTGTTTGTTCAAAAAGTCCACTCAATTGACAATTACTTCAAATGGAAAATGATTCTCTCATCTTTCATGTTTTCATGATAAATGATGCCATGACCTTTTCAGGTAATAATTTTCGCTTTTAATGTTTTATTTACGTGATGCTACAACATTAAATCATCTTTCAGGTTGCATGAACAAATCTA